CAATATATATTTATATCTCTTTATAGATCAGCGGACTGATATGCGCACGGAAGCGTCGAACGTCATGCGATAAGGTGGCGTAGGCAATCGCAGTTCGGCAAAAAAAATAAATGGGAAAATTGGAATTGATAAGTGCCGCCGCCGAGACCCCAATGAGAGGCACAGTGACTCACAAAATAAAGAAAATACTTATTGTGCGCATATTTGAAAAGAGTTGAACAAACATGCATACATATGTACATATACATACATATATGTGCACTAAAACACTAAAACACACATACATACATACTAACTCAATTGCTTAATTAATTCGGCTTCATTAAATTAAGCCCCTCTTTTGCCTCCCCATTGGACAACTCGTACGCTCCTTGTCCACACACTTTTTCAACTTCCGCAACCAAATGCTCATTCATTTACTATTCTCAGCGAGCTTGTAAGCTATAAAATATTGAATTTTATATGCCGGCATCAAGGCCCGCCATATCACTACGTTAAAAACCCCTTGCCTCGAGCCATAGATATGTATGCATGTAATTAACGCTGCACTGCCCGCTGTGCTTAGCGTACCGCTATCGACAATTGGATACGCTGCAAAAAAGCGCACCAAATCGCTTCAAACCGGGTACTTTTAGCTATATTCAAGCAGTTCGCTCCGTGCGCATATTTAGTCGCTGCGGATATTGAATTAATATTTTATATGAGAAAGTACTTACGGTGTATGATGTTGGCGCCAGCGGCGTGCGTGAATCACTCTTGTGGAAACTCATGTTCGCAAAGGTGACAACAGCTCCGCAATATTCCAAACGCAATATCCGATATTCTTCGACTTTTATGTTCTTTTGGATTCTGACTCGGCCTCTGTGTTTGCGTTTTCGTTAATCAATTCCGATGGGTTGCGAATTTCGTGCGCAGTGCTTAAACGAATATTTTGCCGAATATTTTTTTTAAGTATGTTTCACGAGCCTTAAGCGACTTATGCAATTGCGTTATTACGATGTCGCGTTTTACTTAAGTACGTATGTAAGCATGTATGTATTAAGTTTTGAAAAGCACTGCCGCGAGTTTTCAAATGCTTTTCAAACTGTTCCAGAATGTTCCAAACTAAACTATGCAAACGTTTACGCGGCGTAGCTACGCAATCAATCGTTATACGAAGAAACGTCGAACAGTCTTTGCTCAGTACAAAACTTTTTTTTGATTCGCTTAGAATGCGTTTTTAAGTACTGTAATTTATGTAAATGAAAAATTCCTATTTTTAGATTATGAAAATTAAGAATATAATTCGTTAGAACCGTTTGCAAAGTGTGGCATTTAATTATTTAAAAAAAATATATATATATATATCTATGTATATATGTAATTGTTATAAAACTGTTGCTTTACTTTTTTGGTGTTAAACTACGAGCACCGAAAAGAGACAACCGCACTGTTTGACATTCAAAGCAAGAATGCCAACATTGCCATTTCGACGAACGAACGCAAGCAAGCAAGCAAGCAAACCGCCGCCAGCCAGCAGCAATCAGAGTCCAGAGCCAGAACCGAGACTGGAGCGCCACCACCGACAAACACGTCCAGTTAACCAACACAGACAAGCACCAGTACCGCCGCTAGAGCTCCGTTTGGTTGCTAGTTTTTGGTTAGTCAGTTCCACTGCACGGTGTGACGACGCAAAGTTCGGTTGTACGTTCGTTTCCACCATTGCCTCACCCTGCCTCACCTCATTCATTTGTTTGACTATTTGCCTGTATTGTTCCCATCTTTGTTGGGTGTGTGCGTGTGTGTATGTGCTCTTGACACCACTAACGACTGTTTGTCGTTTCGTCTGCAGTGACCGTCGTGTCTGTTGCGCCGTTAGTCAGTCTGCTTCCGCTTATGTCAGTCAGAATGGCGGATGTAACGGTGAGCGAGTCAGTGAGTGCGGCGGGTGAGACTGACTGTCATTTAGTCCTTATGAATTTGGTTTGACGTTTCGTTTACTCGTGTGCTTCACTGTGTGCCTGTGAGTGTGGTAGAAACTCTCACATTTGTTTTTGCGCTCGTATGTATGTATGTACGTACATAAGTATCTACTTTTTTATTATTTTTATTTGGAGTTGTTAGTGCATTGGTTGCAGTGTTCGTTGTTGTTTTAAGTGCATACCTTTAGTACTGCATAAGTATCTGAACATGTAATCGTATTTGGAAGCTATTTTATTGCGAGTAAAGAGAGAGTCTAGCACTGTGCGTTTCATTCATTATACTTAATTTCTTTTGTTGCAGTTGCAACTCTAATAATAGCTCTCACTTGTGTGACTAAAATACTTTCATGTTACATGAATGCTTTCATAGTACATATACTACATATACATATTGATATATGTATGTATGTACAAATAAATAAAAGCACAATTAATTATAATATATTGCATACATATTTACATACATACATATATGTATTTGTGTTGTAATGGTAATGGCAATGGACTTGTAATGGTAATGGTTATGATTGTGGAAATGGTAATGTTAATAGTAATGGTAAGTGTATCTAATGGTAATGGTAATGTTAAAGGTAATGGAAATAATAATGGTAATGGTTATAGTAATCGTTATGGTAATAATAATTGTAATGGTAATTGTAGAAATAATACTGAATAATACTGAAGCGAATGGTAATGCCGCTGACTAACGGTAATGGGAATGACAATCGAGAAGAAGCCCGGCCAAATACTTAGCAAAAATGTATGCAGACCCAATTTTTTTAAGGGTAGCGGTCGATGCGGTAATGTCGATGGTTCAGATACAAAATATACAAAACACAAAATACAGTTGAAAGTATATTTTGCTTTCGTTTGCAAAGGGAAGTCGAGACAAAGTTAAACTCGTCGTTTTTCTAGAATGAGTATTCTCACATCGAATGCTATTTCACAATCATTTCTTTACATTGAAATTCAACCTGTCGTAAAGACATTAAAATATTTGCTTATGTTTGTCGCTTTTTTTTCCCCCGGCCACCCCTCAAGCATCCGTCGCCGTAATGAGCGGCAGGCAATATCTTATCAATAGAAATAATCGCACTTAATTTGAATACTGAAATGCCTTCTGTTTGTCAAGAACAATAGATAGTATTTATGAGTAGAAGAACGTCGTGAAAATGTATTTGTATAAATATACATACAAATGTACATAAATATGTACATACACATGTGGGTGACATACACAAATAAGTAGGGACGAACAAATATCAATCGGCAGCTGACTCGTCCAATACATTAAATGGAATTAAATTTAATTAGTAACTTTCTAAGTAAGGACACCCAAATACCCACATATGTATGTGCATATGTACATTTATACATACATATATTCCGTACCAATCCACTTTTTTTTTAACAGACTTCAGACTATAAATCAACCAAATGTATCGACAGTTATGAATACCAATAACTGAGTCAACTGCTTAATCAGCAAATTTTAAGCTATAGATAAATTTTAAAATATTTATTATGTGTTAAAAAAAAAGTAAATATTAAATATCAAAATATTTTTGTAAGTATGAATATGTTGGGCCAGTGGAAAAAAACCAATGCTGTTGCTTCTTTTGTTGTGAGGACCATGAATTATTCATAAGTTCAAATTTATATTCAAGAAACCAACAACCAATTCCAGCAGGGTATACGCACTCATCTTTTTCCTGTGCATTTACACACATATTCGTTAATTGTGCGAAATCGAAAAAAAGTTGGCTCACTCATTCATAAAATTTTCCATAATTCCTTTACATGCGCGGCCGATTAGCACGGCGTCAGTCTTATGAATATATGTATATGTACATATATATTTGTATTTATGTATGGACGCTGGTAAATGTACGTGAGTAAAAGTACTTATGTATGTATGTAGGTATGTTTGGGTATGCGTGTTAATCGAAGATCACTTGCTGGCACTTACTACCTACCTACCTACCTACCCTAACTGTTTATGATTTTTTAACGGGAAAACCTTTGTAGGCTAGACTATTATGCTTCTGAGTGTCATTACCAGGACATTCGAGTCTACGTAACCGAACAAATCTACTTCTGGCCAAGAATTGTCCTTCTAGCTGTTCCCCAAAACCCCTTTTTTATGATCCTACAACCACAAACTACGTCCGAGTACAAACAATATTCAATAGTCAAGCTCAGTTTTTAAATATTTGCTAAGTGGACTGAAGTTCGCGAGGATCATACATAAATACATAAAGCCAACTAGTATTCGAGTCCTGCAAGGAGACTATGTTTTCGTTTTCCTGTAGGAGGCGTAACCTTTAGCTTAAGAACACAAAGCAAATTGTTCTCTGCAATCTGATTGCGATATCATTAGCGATAGACGTTGGATGTGCTTTGGCATACATTCTTAGACTTTTGAGCTTCTTTCTACTTCTCCTTGGAATGATCTACGAATCATTTGTAGAAATTTTAGTTAAATATTTTTAATAGAGTTCATCAAAGCCATCCACATACGATCGATGAAAATTCTAAAAAGAGCTGTTAACTAAGAAAATAAAATAAATAAAATGGCGATTGGTTTAACATGCATAATTTTTTCATTATTTAAACTTTTATTTATTGTAAATAATACTATGTATGTATGTACATATATTGCTTCGATCTTATGGAAACTTTTCACTAATCGGTACTATAGAAATGTATAATTTCTCGTTTACGAACTGTTTACCCATGCATTTAGTACGTGAAATTTTATGATTTTACGTCAACGACAGCACCCTCATACCACATTCCGGCACGTGATAAATTTGTCTAAATGATGGATGACAATCTACTAATGCATATATATGTATGCACATAAATATGTAGTTATATGCAAATACATATATACAATATTTAGTTTGTAGAGTTACTTAAAAAAAAAAAATAAAAAAATAAAAATTTCGTTAACAGTCAATTGCACATGTCAAACGCTGACATTTCGCATTTCAGTTAATTTGCCCCGTCATAAATGCCGTTACGACTCTATGACACAGCGCCACTGCGACTATTTTATTTTTGAGCTTTCGTGGTCAATTTTTAAATATTCTAAAATTATTGCTTGATTACTATAAATTGATCATCATCGATTTGAAATGATCGAAATGAACTCCCCGGAATGCGTATGACGCGTGCGAGAAAGCAAGAAGCATAAGTACATACATATGTACATACATACAAACGTACATAGTATAGATAACGCTATGCGATCGTTTGGCAATTTCCAACGCCCCAACTGACAATTTTTTGATGCGCAAAAGAAATATTGTGCCACTTCATAATTGCTACTGCTGCTTTGCTTTTGTTGTTGTTGCTGACAAAGTCGTCGAAACCAATTTATGCATCGTTCGCAATTTTTTTTTTTTGCACATATTTTTTGTTTTTAAATTAATGTGCGCCGTAATATGAACTGCGAAAATACTTTAAAGTTTTCGCTCATTTTTTGTTTGTTGTGTCTGATACAAAGTGTTGCCAGGTTTAGTTGCTTCACTGAGTTTCAACAAATGTGTCTTGCAAGATTATTGTTTTTAATTGCCTTACAACTTAAGTTTCCTTTCAAAATCCCTACTTTTTTAATCTAACTAGGCCCTTTTAGAAAAATAATTTAATTTAAATACATACATACATATTTATTAAAAAAAAGTTTTTCTTTTCTTTTAAATGGTCATTTTTGATCAATTGGTTAGATGTTAAATTTTTTAATTTTTTTCATGTCTAAATAATTAATTTAAATGAAAAATTAAAATCAAAATTCAAATTTAAATAAACTTGCAATTTAACAAGTAATTTTTTAGCAAAAAACAAAACCGACTTCAATTCTCATATAAAAATTTAAGGTTATCGTTAATTTCTTCATGATCTAGTGATCGAATTTCAATCAAATTACTATAGAACCACCTGTGAGGTAAGACCTTTCCTTAAAAAAAAAAAGAATTATAAAATCGGTTAACGTGGTCCAAATTAAAGCAGTAACATACATAAAAATAAAAAATAAAAAATTAAAATAAAAAAATATTCCGACGAACTGATAACCTTCTCCTTTTTGTAAAGTCGGTTAAAATTTGTGCACAAGCCTCTGTTAACATATATCTAAAATAATTTAAATAAGTTAATATTAAAAAATATTTTTATAATCAGCTTTATAAATATGAGCTAAATTGGACCAAAAATACACGGGTTTTCCAAATATATCTTGCGCCACCGATCGGCAAACCTTTTTGTGGAGTTACAGGTAATATATATTTTGGATATAAACTAAATCAGACGATAGATGCATGATTTCGATATATATATATATATATCGATGCCGAGCCACCAGGCGGATTAATTCATATTGAAAGTTTGAAGTTTAAAGCCTCTAGCTCGTTGGGTAGTTGATAAAAAATGTATTGCAAGATTTGGCTCAAGCATACATACATACCTGTAGTATTTTATTTAAAAAAAATCTCTCTCGAGATAAACCATTTTCCTTTTAAAGCAATATTTTGTTGCGTTTCCAAGCAATATCTCAACGATTAACTAGCCATAGGTGTAGTTAGGGATGCCACTTTTAAATAAACCTAAT